AGTGTAATTATTTCAGCTATGTGATAGTAACATTTACCAAATGTTTTTAAACCCACTTCAGATATATTCTACACTGAGATTCTGTGCCCATTTTTGTTAGTCATAAAGAAGAGCCAATGCAGTAAGTGGTGTTTTGTCACTATCACAGTCAGAGTGGGGAGAGGGGAAAAAATTGGCTTTCATTTTGGTAGTCTGATGTGGACAGTGGAAATCTGTTAACTACTTCTCCACAAAAGTAAGGTAAGAAAAGCAAACTATCTATCAGTAAAGTAACATTTCCCCATCTAAGGTCAGTACCTTACTCAGAAACACACAGAGATCTGTAATTCAAACACCCTGACATACAGTTTTAAAGCAAAATCTGGAGGAACTGAACAGCTCAGCTGGGGTTTTGCTGAACCTTCATTTCAACAGAAAAATGTTTCTTAACTTTAATCAGTCCAGTCTGGTTCTTTTTCCCATACCCTGTGGCCACCAGAAGTCTCACAAGAGGAAGATAATAGGAAGACAACTCAAAATGGTAAAACCTCATTGCCCCACTTCAGTGGGCATTGGTGTTTCTCAACTGCAAAAAAGGTTAAAATAAAGTGGGGTGTGGGGGGAATATAGAATGGTTTGGGTTGGAAGGGACCATAATGATCATCTAGTTCTAGCCCCCTGCCATGGGATCAGATTGCTTACAGCCTCACCCAGACTGGCCTAACACTGTCTTTCTCATCCAACCCATTTGATAAGCTTGAACAAAAGGGATAAACACTGTGAAGCAGAAGCCATGGATTAAAAAGCTGGAGAATTCTTCTAGAAGATTTCCTAGTCTCTTGTTAGAGAACAGTATCAAGACTTTTTTATTTAAATAACTGACAAAATTTTAATATTTCTAGGAATTCTGTAGCACCTTTATTACTTAAAATCCTTACTCTCTGTGCTTCAACTTTTCACTACACACTTGACACCCTCCACCCCTCCCACTTGCTGAGCAGAGCATATCCCTGCCAGGGAAGCCAGAGGAGCTGTTTCCACCCCAGTCAGTCCTGAACTGAGCCCAGTAAGCTGAGATTAATTCTTCACCTCTTGGTACTGAGTTCAGTCAGCCCTTCAGTACTGTTCAATATAATTTAAAAAAAGGGGTTTTTTTTAGAAAGCAAAAGCAACCAAAAGAACTAATGAGCTACACTGCAACAAAACATAGTTTACTGATGTCTATATAGCAGTTATCAACAAAAGACAAGATAAAAGCTTCTCACTTCTTTTACCAGTTTCTTTTCATAGTTTTCGTGACCATTTTAAAGGACTGCTAATTTCTCTCAAGTCAAATAAGAAAAAACCCCTGCAATTGCTAACACAACATAAAAAGCCTAAAAGCAGTAGTTGCCATTAAAAAGCCTTTATTACCTGCTATTGCTGCTACCACATAATGAGACAAAATGTGTCACCAAGTATGCACACCTTACTCAGGAAAGAAAACTCCCTGAATAAATAACCTCCTAATGAGCAATAGCCCAGATCTGGGTCTCACACCCACCATCAACAAGGCTTTGTGAGTGCATCATGGGGGAAGACTTGATAAAAGTCAATACTGCTGTAAGAGATCATTTTCTGAATCTCCTTCAAAAAGCTGCCTATACTCAGAGAAGTACAGGATTCCAAAAGTATAGCAAAACCTTTGTTAGCCTGTTTTTAACAGAATTCTACTCTGTGACTATGGAATTAAAACCAAACAGATGAGACATAAGAGCCAGAAGTAACATTTCAACGAAAAAGATAAGAATTCCAGAAAACACACATAACATTGCTTAAACATAGGTGGCAGAGAAATAATTTATATTTTTAAATGCACATTAAAAACCATCCTTGCTTTCTCCAGTGACTTTTACTGCTCTGTGAAAGTGACCACTCAACTGCCTGAATTGTTTTTATATACCAGGAATATGAAAAATCAGTTACTGATCAAGAAAATATGTATATTGATATATATATAAATAAAAAATTAAGCATTTTTACAGTTAATATCTGTTCCTTAATTTGTATTCTATCCTGAAGATTATCAGAGTCTGACTAGATTACAGACATTAGTTTAGCTATGAATAATCTTGCCAGTTTTGGACTTGCTCATATTTGTAACAAGGTGGTTCCTTAGGGAACCAGCTGAGGGAGACTAAGATCATTGTTCCATTTTCCATTATAATTTTACCTCAGTCAGCCTATAAATACTAAATTCCATATTCATCAGGAACTTATAAATGAGTGATCCTTCACTGGAGCTACGCTTTCTGTTGTGTGCATCCCAAATATAGAAACAAACACTTGTACTCCCATATTTACATTACAGTAGCTGCATAAAAAGGAACTTTAAATCTGTCTGTAACCCATGAGTTACTACAGTTCTTTAATTCCATAGCTGAGGACAGAAAAGAAAGGACATATTTCATTAGAAAGGAGATTTTGTTTGTTTCTTTGGACAGCAAAACCAGATATTTAAAGTGCTGCAAGTGATCTTGATGACAAATTAGAAAGCTGAAAGCAGGAACAAGAGCCTAGGAGGCATCTTAAATTATATTCAATACATTGCACTGCTTTGTGCAACACAGGTCTCACTACTGTGAATATGAGGTGTGTGTTAATATTATTTGAATATACAGGACTGCAAAGAAATCCTTTTAAAAACAACTGTGCAATGGAAATATAAAACAAATAGCTCTGTTCACAATGTTTTATTTACAAAACTTTCCTGAATCCCTGCTCCTCTTTCCACTGTACATATATGATTGTATGGACGAAGTTTCCTAATGGCAGCTTAATTCAACTCTTAAAGCTACACAAGCTGAAGTCCAACTCCATACTTACATTTCAGAGGACAAAGCAAACCAATATTTAAATTTAAGGCAGAGCAAGCCAGAAAAGACAGGCCACCTCAGCCTATAACATGAATCCAGATGAAAAACATCACTAAATTAATACACATATAAAAGACACAGTTACTAACAAGGCAGCAATAAATTTAGAAAAAATAGTCCAATCCATTTGCTTGATGCTACTATGTTAAGCTTATTCCATTAAGCAAAAAATCGGTTGGTTTGTTTGTTTTTAAATCTGAATCATGCCCAGTTTTCTAAATAAAGCTACTGCAATCATATATGGAAAACAAATACTGGATTTCAGTATTTTGAGAGCACCACACTTCCCCTCTTCCCCAGCCATCTCCAGCAAGGACAGCCTGTTTTATATTCATCAGTCCAACAATCACAGCTCACACAGCGACAGCAGGCTCGCTTACATTAAATCACTGATGTAATTCACTCTGATTTTTTTTCATTAGGATAAGTCTTTTGCAAGCAAAGACAACTTTGATATGACTGTATTCCATGTCAGCTACACACAAGCCCATTCTCAATTGGGAGCCCTACTGCACCATTTAGTTTCTTCACTCCCAAGTTTGTATGGTTTCCAAGTTTACCACACCCCCTCAGCGTTCAATACAGGGCAGATTTTTATCTGCTGATGTTGAAACACAAGCAGGGTTAGCTTGCCTTTTTTGAACAGCTGGGCAAATGCCTTATTTGCTGAGCTTTGTCTCAAAACCCATCCGAAATCTGGTGGTCTTGTTACCAAATGGATATTTCAAATTAGTAACCATGAACCTGTTCTCCAAGGGTTCATGACAAATCAGCAAGGTGGTTGATAAATGGCCACCTAACAGATTGCAGGTGGCAGGGGTTTTTTAATTGCTGCAAGCCTGTAATGAAGGATCTAGTTTGATGCATTAAGTCAGAATGAAATGAGTTAAATTGTAATAACTTTAAAGTAGAGATTTTAGACAAAAAATAGAATGGAGAATTCATACCAAACCTTAATTGTCAAGGAAATTGCTGAAAACATTTAATACTATTTTATTCCAAAAGTGAAATACATCACAATCATATGTGTATTATTTTTTAAGTTTATTGTACTGTTGGTAGTAGGAAATACTCCTATTTGTTCAGTCATTGAAATAATTTCTATTGCCTTTTTGAACCTGTTAGAAAAAAAGACACTCATTTTATTTGCTCTAATAACTCTCAAAGTGTCAGATTCAATAAAGACTCAATTTTCCACTCTGCAGAAATTACCCCCAAACTCCTGGTGTCAGGCCTTTAAGAATCAAAAATACTGATAAGGCTTTTAAAGAATATTTCTCAATTATTTTATAACATTCTCTTATCTTTCCTTTGACCCTGAGACCAGCTTCCTTTGTTAGAGCCTAGGGCTAGTAATGCCAAGCTTGTGGGTTCAATCCCTGTATGGGCCATCCACTTAGGAGCTGGATTTGATGATCCTTGTGGGATGCCTCCCAACTCAGAATATTCTGTGATTCCAGGTAAAAATGTATCTAATATGACAAATTACTGTCCTATACCAAAGTCTCTTGAGTACACACATTCACTTGCACTTGGTAGTCACGTCTGCTGCACTCAAACAAGAAGTAGAAGCTTATGAGTAAGAACAGACACATTTGCTTTCAGGAGCTCATCTCTAAACTACATTTGCTCACTGTCTCATCAGACATGGAAGAACTGGCCTGGTATTTTACCTAAAATGAGTTAGCAGATTATTAAAATCAGTCACCCATATAAAAATCCACACATTTATACATCCACAGAACTTTTCTCCTCCTTAACTTGCCCCAAGAAAAAAACTCAAGAAAAACATTTCTGTGCCCATTCTGCTTGTTACCCAAATTATTTGGAAAAAGTGTCCACAGTGTATGAAAAAAAAAAAGATCCTATTACTTTAATTATCTTCCATTAGAGAAAAACAGAATAGTGCAATATCCAAGATGTGTGTATGCTACAACTCCACAGCAGTACCTTGCTTCTGTAACACCCATTTCCTCAGACTGCTATTTTTACACCTTTATATGTCTTTAACAGGATGATAAATGCTTTTCAAGCAGAAGCCAGGACTTCAAGAAGCCTGGATTCTTAAAGACTCACCAAAATAAATAAGAAGGCAATTCTACCTACCTTAGATATTTCTGGCTCCACTTGTCTCTTGGGTGTGTCTTTTGACTCGGGCCCTTTGGGAGTACCGGTGTTCTTCACCGCCAGCGAATCAACTCCTTCGCCTTCAAGCTGCAGGTTAATGCCTTCTGTGGGGACAGGGTGATCAATACCATTTGGATTCAGATTGCAATGGATAGCTGGGAAAAAATAGGAGAAACATTGCTTCAGAGCTGGGAAAAAATAGGAGAAACATTGCTTTAGGAAAGAAGAACCCAGCGGTTGTTCTTTAGCACAAAGTACTGAGAAAGTGCCATGCGGTAACCAGAGCTGTGTCAGACCACAGCAAATGAACCATCTGTACTTTGATGTGGATTCAAGGTGAGATATTTGAGAAAGAAAAAGAGGAATGCAGCACTGTATAAATTGATTTAGTGCAGGCTACCATGCAGAACTGTGCTCTGCTGGATTCACTAGAGCATCCAAGACCCTCAACTTAGAGCTTTTATTAAATGCTCATCATCCAACCATACATTTTTTTCCTTTCTAGGCAAACAAGTTGAAGGTTTTCTATTACATTTTCAATTCCTACAACATTCTAGGTCTTAAAGAAAGTGAGATAAGTAAGCCATGCACAAAAAAATCAGCAAGTCAGTCTCTGCACAGAGTAATGACTTATCCAGCTGATTATTTCTCCTTCAGTCCTTTGTACCATTGCAAGTTACCACCTACACCATCCTAACAAGCAAAAGAGATGTACTCCCTGGGAGTATATAATGAGGGAGGAACTAATGACAGCAGAATAAGGAAAGCATCCAGAGGAAAAAAAATAAAACAAATGCAAAGCATACAACAGAAATGCCCTTTTAGAACTATGGCAGTAGCTTGCTTTCTGCCCAAGTTTTCACAGTTTCAGCACTCACACATATAGTAGTGATTTTAAAAATGTGTGGATCCTGAGATAACTTTCCCTTTATGTGACTGACTTTTGCATTATGTTCCTGCATAACTGGGCTACTTTTAGCACTAATTGTAATTAATGGTCCCAACTTGCCCTGTGTACAAAAGAACTTTGCTCAGATATTGTGGTGCAATGTTTGACAGATCTGAACAGAAGCCTAAATTACAATGTACAGCCAAAATAAAAGCTACCCTTTTACTCGTGCTTGACTTAGAAGCAAAGGATGGGAAGCTGGGGAAGAAATCAAAACTACCAGTTTCTACCAGCTACAGATCAGCCCTTGAAGGTCTCTCACAGGAAACTGGCTCAAGCTGCCAGTGAAAGCAAAGGGTTATTTCACTCCAGCACCTTTTGAAAATCTATTCAGCTTAAATCCTAGAGTCTTAATTGAAAACTTTGAGCCTAAATAACAAGAGTTCCTTGGTACAGAATTAAAGCAGAGGCCAAAATGTTGACCATTTTGCCTTGAGATCTTTAAAAACATCCAAATATTTCTAAAAGATAAGTGATTTCTGCAACTACTACAATACCTACATCTGCAAACCAAGGCCAGGAACACCTACTATGGGAACTTAAAAAGAAATTTGATTCTGTGGTTAATATTTACATCAGTGTCCCTCAAGACATCAAAAAAATTCTCTCTCTCCTAGATTATATCTACCTACTGTTATCTAGCTCCTCTAGATCATATTGACCTACCCGAAGGAAACAACTACTAACAACTCTGCCTGTCCTCCAGATCACAGAAAGATAGATGTGATGCACCAAGACTGAGTATTCTCACAGCACACTGAGAATAAAAACTGTTCTGTTAGTAACCTAATTAATTCCCCCCTGTACAAAAAATGTAAATGTATCATAACCGACCTGTAAAAGTATTCCCCTCCCACCACACCCTGCTCCAGCAAGGCCTGATCAGCAGTGAAAAGACATTTGGTATCGAATGCAATCCATAAAAATTCCTCCAACTGTTTTCTGCCAGGATCTTCCCTAGCTGAATAGGAAGACTCCTAGAGACACCTTTGAAACCCCAACACACTACAGCAACATTCAGAAGCAGGCAGATTTTGGCTGTCAGCCCAGTTCCAGAGCTCACCAAAGAGAAATTAGGGAACACAGTGGGACTTAAAACTGCCTGGAAGAACACTGCCAGCAGCAAGTCTCCTGTGAATTGCAACTCCTCCCTTCCCAGTGCTCCCAAACAATAGAGATTAGGGAGAAGGGTGGCATGGCATCAACAAGGAGACCCTTCTGGGTTATGGCCCTAATTTACCATGCATTAGAGGGAGCAAATTATACAGGTTTTGATAACATGGCAGCATGATGACTAACCTTACCTCCTTCTATGTATAACCACATGACACACTTGGATGAGGGAAAGGCTGTGGATGTTGTCTACCTCGACTTTGATACTGTCTCCCACAGCCTTCTCTTCGAAAAATGGCTTTTCATGGCTTGGATTGGGGAACTGTTCAGTGGGCAAAAACCTGGCTGAGTGGCCAGGCCCAGAGAGTGGTAGTGAATGGAGTTACATCAAGCTGGTGACTGGTCACAGGTGGTGCTCCCCACAGCCAGTTCTATTTAATATCTATCACCAGTCTGGATGAGGGAATTGGGGGTACCCTCAGAAAGTTTGCAGATGACACCAAGTTGGTTGGGAGTGCTGATCACACTGCTGGAAGGTAGGAAGGCTCTACAGAGGGATCTGGACAGGCTGGATCAGCGGCCCAAGGCCAGTGGTGTGAGATCCAACAAGGCCAAGTGCTGGGTCCTGCTCTTGGGTCACAATAAGTTCTGGGTCCCATGCAGTCCTACAGGCTGGGAACAGTGGCTGGAAAGCTGCCCTTGGAAAAGGACCTGGGGGTGCTGGTCAGCAGTGACTGAACATGAGCCACTGTGTGCCCAGGTGGCCAAGAAGGCCAATGGCATCCTGGCCTGGATCAGACACAGTGTGGCCAGCAGGAGCAGGGCAGGGATTGTCCCCCTGTACTCAGCACTGGTGAGGCCACACCTCAAATCCTGTGTCCAGCTCTGGGCCTTTCACTACAAGAAGAACATTGAGGGGCTGGAGTGTGTCCAGAGAAGGGCAACAGAGCTGGGGAAGGGTCTGGAGCACAACTCAGGTGAGGAGCAGCTGAGGGAGCTGGGGGTGTTTGGCCTGGAGAAAAGGAGGCCCAGGGGGGACCTTGTCACTCCCTACAACTCCCTGAAAGGAGGCTGGAGGCAGTGGGGGTCGGTCTCTTCCCCCAGGTAACAAGGGACAGGATCAGAGGAAAAGTCCTCAAGCTGGGCTAGGGGAAGTTTAGATTGGGTATTAGGAAAAAATTCTTCATGGAAGAAATGGTTGCCAGGCATTGGAATAGGCTGCCCAGGGAAGTGGGGCAGTCAACATCCTTGAAAGTATTTAAAAAAAACATGTAGACATGGCACTTGAGGACACGGTTTAGTGGTGGACTTGTCAGTGCTGGGTTAAGGGCAGGACTTGATTTTAAAGCTCTTCTCCAACTTCAATGGTTTTATAAATCTGTAAGCACCTGGATGGCTTAAAAAATAAATAAGTCACTTGGCAAGATGCTGCTTGACTCTTAGCCCATCATGCATTCAAGAGTAATGAATGCTAGTGCTTTTTCAGCAATGCCTTTTACTGGGCTCCTTCAGGATACAAAAGAGAAAGAAATGGAAGAGGCTGCTAGCAATTACAGAGATGCCCACTGCCTTTTAATTGAAAACAGGTGAGTGGTTAAAAGAAACACAGGCGGTCCTAGGGGACTTTTCCAGAGTTGCTAATATTGAAGGGTAGGGGAGGGAAGTGGGGAAAGAGAACTTTTTTCTAGGGGTATTTATCTCCTAAGAAGAATAAGTATCTCAGTCCCTTGGCCAAGTTTCTCTTTCTTTGTCACAATACATCTTTAGGTAGCCAGCTCTATTATCTTCTCCTAGTGCTACCTGCAACCCTCAGCTACACAGAGATTAGGAACAAGGAATATTTCCTTGCATGGGTCTGTTATTTCCTGTTACCACACAGAATACATAGATCCATCTTTGTGGCAGAGAGGTGGAGTTCTTGCCTCCTTTTAAATGTCAATATAAACCAAAATGGTTCCCTTTCAAGATTTGTTAAAGGCAACCAAAGAAGTCAATGTTTGGTCAATAATTATTCTCTTCTTAAATCTGCATCTTATATAATTTAGCTAGATAAGGTCAGCTCAAAACCCAGGACCAACTATCAAACCTAATGGGGCTTGGTGGGCTGACAGCACTCAGGGTTAACATCCCATAGAACTGAGTCTAAACAGCTCTTAAAAAATAATCACAAATCACTAACTTCACCACAGCCCATGGGCTCTGACTCTTAGCTGACACATCTTAAATTTCTTTTAGGACTTAATGGCATTCATCTGGAAAAAATCTTACTCCAGACAAAGTAGTTTCTGGCTAAAATATTGTTCAGACCATTACTCCTCTTTACCCTGGTACTGGCTAACACTAGCTCATCCTGCCCTCTGCTTTCAGACCATTTTCCCACACTGCTCCTTTGACAACATCCCTGCTGCCTCAGCACCTCTTCATTCCACCAAACTGCATCCACCTGATCAATCCCAAATTTTAACAGTACATCAAGACAACAAACACCCTCCAAATCAGCTCACAGTATCAGCCCAATACCCCTATTAGCAGTATCATTAGATTTTGAAACAACTTCTTCCAGTATTCTTCCATACAATCTCAATATTCATGTATCATCCATATCTCAGTAATACAACCCTTCATCCCGATTCAGATCACTTATATTCTCCTTTCCCTGCTGGAAACCCCACCTCAGTTGACTAATCGTTCTTCATGCTCCCCCAACAATTGTTGTTCAAGTTGTATTGAAAGCTTTGTGGTGGGAACTTGTTTCCTTTTGAGGAAGAAGGGTGGATGTTCTGCAGAGCTCTGACTGCACAGCAACAAGCACATAATGAATGGTGCTGGCAGACACAATAACATAGATCCAAAGATTACATTTATGAAACAAACTGTTATTTAAAACAAAGGTACTTAAGTGCTCTTGTACTCCTAACCTAATGGTAGAGCTGAATCTAATATCCACTTTTCCAGCATCTAAAAAGACTGCTGAGATCTGCCAAGTTATGAGAGTGAAAAGCTCTGTGAGAAAAATAGTTAGCAGAGCATCTAAAGTGGAAAAAATTACCCCACATCTGTCCTAAAAAACTAGAAGCAATACACTAAGTACAT